AAATCTAGCCTAGGGTTGTGCGATGTTGACAACAAATGATATCTCTGTATTTTCTGGGATTTTATCGATAATGATTGATAATCAGATGATATTTTGCTGAGTGTGTTGTGCTGCAGGACTGCCATGGACAGCTGACTCTGTGTGGTGGTCAGTTCACAGCAGTGACAGAAATTAATCTTTTCCAGCAAGTTTAAAATTATTTTTACCTTTGTAAAGCCATTTTTTTTTTAGAAGTGTGTCTTACATTTAATCAATAAAGTAAATTTGAATAATACGACATTTGGGGCAGTTACCAAACAAATAAAATCATTATCAACAAAATTCATGCAATGCAGAGGAAACACAGAAGCTGCATCTGAAGTGGCATTTAGATGCATATACACACTGTTTTATGCAAGGCATGAATGCTTTAATTTGCAGTTACAAATGCATAAATAATGTTTTGATATTTAATCTTAAAACGTTGAATACTGATATTTGAAATGATTTAAAAAATATATAAAAAGGTACTTTAAAGTGTGAAATTAAAACCGCCAGTAGGTGGCAGCAAGTCACTGTTAAGTGAGTCATTGCGATTGAACAGACTCATTTAAACGGTTGATTCATTCAGGAACGAAACACTACTGTCATGTTTTTCAGAGACGCAAAACAGTACTGTGGCTTTGTTTGGAACCATTTTTGTTGGCGAAATAGAGGAAAAAATAGGCAATGTGGTGTCTAAAACGTAAGTCTCTTAATATTAACTTCTTGATTATTGAACTGTTGTATAAAATCAATATCACATTTGTGATTTTTGCGCGAAAAAAATGTCACTCTTCGTGTGATATTGATCAACTATATGAAATGATATAAATATATACATTTTCTGCCCCATATCTTGAATTTTGGGATCATTCTAAATGCATTTTATTATACTGAATCATGCAGTGAAAGAACACACTCTAAATGAGCATTCAGTCTAGCTAGTGTTTAAGCACTCATAACTCCTCTCATAATCAATAAAGCTGTCCATACACGGTATGATAAATGAATCT